AGACCACACCTTCTATATCTTTGTTTGTCCTTATCCCCCTGCCACATCTCAGCTGTATTTTTTTTTTAAAGATTTTATTTATTTATTTGAGAGAGAGAGAATGAGAGAGCACATGAGAGGGGGGAGGGTCAGAGGGAGAAGCAGGCTCCCTGCCGAGCAGGGAGCCCGATGCGGGACTCGATCCCGGGACTCCAGGATCATGACCTGAGCCGAAGGCAGTCGCTTAACCAACTGAGCCACCCAGGCGCCCCTCTCAGCTGTATTTTGCACGTGTATGTTCGCTGAATGCTTATGGAATGAAGAGGCAGAAAGAAAAAGACAGGGGTCGCAGAAATGGGTAAGGAAGGAAGGCCAGGAGGGGAGATGAAGAGTGGTAAGAAAACTAGCTTTCTGAAGCAAACAGAGCTTGTAGACGAATTGGAGATAGTGCAATTGCATAGATCCCGGGAGGGATCAGGCAGGTAAATGGAAATTAGGGACATTGGCTGGAGAAGGCCATCTCGTGATGGAGACACAAGCACTCGGAGTCAGGTCTCCCCATGTGCTGCCACCGTCCAGGCAGGGAGGGGGCCGAGGGTTGAGGGTTGCCAGAGCTTATGATTTTCAAGACAAGATGAAAATCTGGATTTTATATGAACTTCTTTATTTTTGTAAACTGTTGGTAAGTATTTCAAATTAAAGGAAAAATAAACACTCTGTGGGTTAGACCTAGTGTGAATGTGGCGAGATGAGGTCCCAAGCTTAAAGGTCAGGCCAGCTTTTCAGTCACCTTGAATGTCTATGTGAGGACTTTTGGAGGTTATTCAATACTTACCATGCGAAATTATATGTAAACTCATGGCTCAGTCTTTGGGGGTAATAGAACTGTCACACTAGGGGTTAGGCTTGTTCATTCTTCTATGGTATACAAACATTGCTTATTGAATTTCCCTATGGTTTCCCGAAGGAGTTGATTTGCAGCCTTAAAATGAGCACATCATTTCTCTCACTTATCATGCTCAGCCCTGGGCCAGAATCAAATGAATCATAGCTGGTCCCTTCAGAAACAGGGAAGTGGCAAAACCAACCAGGTGACCTAATTGTGCAAAGCATTAAAGACCTAACTGTCCAATTTGGGGAGTATGTTCTGGAAGATTTGGGACAGTAAGAAGAGTGGGAATAACTTGGCAAGGCTTTAGGGAGAATGGATAGAAGTAGGGGCGGATGCCTGAAATTAAGCAGGACAAAGAATAAAATCCAGGTAATGGGAGACATTTCATCCTTTTGTCTTCCATTTGATTAGGTGCGTATGGTTTGAGCACCTACTGTGGGCTCAGTACCACGCTGGCCATTGGGGTCAAAGAACAGACATGCCCTATGATGAAGATGGACCTGGGCTTCCAGCAGTGAAATGCGTAAGAATCTTGTCCCTATCACTTACTAGTTGTATGACCTTGAAGAAGTTTCATAGCATCTTGACGCCCCAGTCTCCATATCTGTAAAATGGAGAGAGTGGTCGAATCAATCCCATAGGTTTATTGTGAGATCAGTAAAGAATATTTGTATAAACCACTCAGCATGGTGCCTCCCACACAGTAAAGACTTAATAAATGATAGCAATTAGCACATTTACATGTAAATTCTCCAGTGGAAGAACACAGAAGACACACAGTGTTGACCCAAACGGGGACATTATTTTCTAACTCTTGCTTTTATTTACAGCAGTCCCCCCCACCCCCTTCTCCATGGTTTTGCTTCCTGCAGCTTCAGTTACCAGTGATCAGCTGTGACCTGGAAGCAGATGCCCCTCCTTCTGATGAAATGGTCCGAACGTCAAAGGCAGGCCCGCACTACGTCACATGCCCACGTCATTCACCCCCTTTCCTCTCAACACATGGGCACTTTATCAACTCACATAATCACAAGAAGGGTGAGTACAGTACAGTTAGATATTCTGAGAGAGGGAGACCATAGGCACATGACTTTTATTCTGAGAGAGGGAGACCATAGGCACATGACTTTTATTCTGAGAGAGGGAGACCATAATCACATGACTTTTATTACAGTGTGTTGTTCTAATTGTTCTATTTTATTATTAGTTATTGTTGTTCATCTCTTACTGTGCCTAGCTGATGAATTAAACTTTATTAGAGATACGCATGTGTAGGAAAAAACATAGTATATGTAGCGTTGAGTGCTAATGCTGGTTTCAGGCATGCCCTGGGGGTCTTGGACGTACCCCCTCAGATAAGGGGGAACTGCTGTATTTCCTTCATAAAACACACTACAGTTTGAAATTATGTTCCCAAAGTCTTTTTAGTTCTCCTACGCTGTCTCCCCTCTTACCCTCAGTGGAGCGCAAGGGGCAGGAAGGTGGGGAGCATGTCTGCTATCCACCTTGACTTCCCAAAGTTTCCTAGCATCCAAGCATATATTAGGAAGAATAACATTTTTTGAGAATTATACATGTGTTGCATTATCTAATACATTGTAGTGCATTATCTTGTCTAATCCTTTGCAACGATCTTATGGATCGTCACTCTCTCTGTCTCCAGTTTAAAAATGGGGTGACAGGCTCACAGAGGGATGGAGTCACTTGCTCAAGTTCTCACAGCACAGAGAAGGGGTGCAACCAGGTTGCAAAATGCTCTGGCCAGGGCTGTGGCCCATGCTCCCTTCCGCTGGGAATGGAATATCTACGGAATAAATGAATTAATGAAGGAATAATGAAAAGATCCAGAGGAGGGGAGACAATTTAGTTAGACGGAAAGATGAGTAGGAGTTTGCTGGGAAACAAGGGATAAAAGTACAACTGTGTGCATGCATGAAACAAGATTGTAACTTTAGGAAGACCAAGTATAACAAACAAACAAATAAATGCTGTGTGTGTGAGATAGAGACAGAGAGACAGAGAGAGAGCGCGCATGCACACAGGTGTTAAGGAGCTCTGTGTGCCATGCTAGGGAGCATGGATGTTTTCTTACTGGGGGCAGGGAAACACTGAAGGAAAGATGTGGGGCAAAATCAGCTTTTCTTTTCTGCAGTCAACATTCTGATTATAATAAGGACGAAGCACAAGAATTGTGGATCTGAGCAGGGAGACCAGTTTGGAGACTCTTGAAGTAATAGAGATGAAAAACTATGTGGCCCAAGCATGATAAACTTTCAGATATTTCTGAATTTGGAGTCTTTAGGTATTAACAGGAAGCGGTTATTTCCAATTATAACTTGGAATGGTCTGCAAGAATTAATGAGAGTAAAATTTTACCTTATTAGAAAGGAGTTCCCTAAATGGATTTTTGAGCTTTTCCTTTTTGTGATCAATATTGGGCTGTACATGCCTGCTAGGTGTGACTTTGCTGCTTCTTCCAAAAACCAGCCACGTAAACACATAAACTCAGGCAGGCACTAAACTCTTAGAACGTCTTTAGTTTGGGAATCTAAACACAATGAGCCGTTAGATTTTGCAGTGGCCATCATTCCAAAACATAAATCAAGTCAAATTTGTTTGAAATCCTGTCTTTAGAAGGTTGTGTGTTTTGACAAACCTTGCAGCAAATTTAGTCCAGCTTTTGGGTTTGTAATGAAACCTGAAACCAAGCATGCTGGCCTGCCCTGGGGTCTTCTCAGACAAGTTCCAAGTAGCCTTAGTGTAATGTCTCCCCTAATCTCATCCTGGCAAGGGACATTACTGTGTTGGGTTGCACTGGAAGTTTGGGGTGGACTCTGCAAACATTTCATACAATCATGGAAAGGGACTGATCAAGACAGCAGTTTGGGGGTATTTCTACTCCTGAGTATTCTTAAGAGTGTAAATTACAGAATTAGCAATACCTTATCCCCTGTTGGCTAGTGACTTGGAGATACCCCAAGCCATGATTGGGGCAGAAAGTTAATTAATCTGCTTATTAAAAAGAAGAAATGTCTCATTTGCATGCATTTACATTCAGGTCTTGCATGCGTCACCCTTTTTGGTGGTTTCTGCTTTCTTTTCTTAATACTACAGACCTAGCTAGGTATTAGCTCAATACATTTACATTTTCTGTGTCTGGGCTTTGTTTAAGGGTATATGTCTGGTTATCATTGGTTCCAGTGGAATTTGATTGTCATATAGATCATTTAATTCTTGGTAGAGATCCTTACCCCTCCCTGAGCTGTGCGGATTTTCGTCCAGTTATCATATACCTCAGTTGCGAAAAGATTTATGTTCTTGACCAATCTTGGAAAATAAAGACCTTGCCTCCATCAGAGTTGGACATGTTATTTGGGGATGAGCCATTCAATTATCTGCAATTTCCTACTCAACTGAATTTTCCATGGTCATTTTTGTGGGAGTTTTCTCCTTCTTGCTTTTCCTATCTTATTTGGAAGTTGGCTTTGGGAGTAGTTTTTTTTTTTTTTTCTTTTCAAGAAAGGAAAAAACCCAAAAAAACCAACCCATTGCTCCATGAATGTATCTTAGGCATTCCACATTCCGAATGATTGTTTTTACCTGAAAATGCTTCCGTAACCTGAACCCAGGCCCCCTTAAACCTGCTTGAGTGAAGCCTTGGGAGAGGAGGGAGGGGCTGGGAAGAGGGTTGATTGTTGGGGGGGGGGGCGGGGGTGAGGAGGGGGTGAAATGTAAAACCTGTAACAAGCCCTTGGAACAACAGCAAGTAAAACCAAAACTATATAGGGAAATTAGTGCAGAGGGAAATCCTGGCATGGGAGTGAATCACCGGCTCTAATATCTGGGACCCCGGTGCGGTGTTTCTGTATTTTGTAGTAATCACATTTCTGATACATTACAACAGTGTGGCTATCAGGGGTGAGTGGCTCAGGCAGCGGTTAAACCACCTATATGCTAACAAGCTTAGCAATCAGGTTGTGAAGGGTCCTGGCTGGAGGAAAAAAATTAAAACCAAACCTTAGACTTCTGTCAGACTGTGAGGAGAATTATATTTTTGAACTAGTCTACAGTGTGGACAGGAAATGACCTCTCCACAAACTGCTTCTTTAAAAACAAGCAGTGGTGCCTAAAGCTATCCAGCTTCTCTCTCTCTCTCTCACTCTCATTCTCTCCCTCCCTCCCTCCTTTCCTCCCTTCCTCCCTACCAACCTCCCTTCCTCTCCGAAGCTCCTGCTCTCTCCCTCTCCCTCCTCTCCCGTGCTCCCTCCCTCCCTCCTTCCCTCCCTCCCTCCCTCCTCTCTCGCTCTCCCTCTCCTCTCCTGCTATAGAGGGCTCCGACAGCAGTTCCCAGCCAGTGTGTTCAGCCTGCCTGCCTGCCTGCCTCTGTGTGTGTGTGTGTGTGTGTGAGCGTGTGCGTGCGTCTACTTTGTACTGTGAGGAACACAGCCCATGTGCTCTGCATGGACGTTACTGATACTCTGTTTAGCTTGATTTTCGACAAGCAGGCAAGATGTCCAGCACACCACATGACCCCTTCTATTCTTCTCCTTTCGGCCCATTTTATAGGAGACATACACCATACATGGTGCAGCCAGAGTACCGAATCTATGAGATGAACAAGAGACTGCAGTCTCGCACAGAGGTAAGTACTTCAACCTTGGGTGTGTGTTTGTGTCTTTTTTTTTTTTTTTTTTAAACTGCATGGGCTTTTCCTGGGTTGCTGGCTGAATTCTGTGGGAAGTGTCCCACCAGATACTACCACGTACGTGGAAATGAGCGCCAGGATGAATCCACTAGTTTGAACGCTGGGTTTCCAGGCACAGCAACTCTTGGAGCTGGGGACAGTTTCTGCCGGAATCTTGAAATAGACAACCCAGCACTTGATTCGCCTGCCGGGTCTCCAGAAATGCTGTTCTTCCCGAACTCCGGGGCTTGCAGGCTCTGAGTCGGTCCCGTTGGTGTTTCGTGAGATATAATTCCCAGGGATTTGGGGGATCATTTGCATCTGGCAAAATAAATTTTTAACAAATCCCCAGAGGAAGTCTGCTTTGACCTGTATTTGCTTTTCAAAGTCATCAAAATCGAGGTGGAGGGGGCAGAAGGGTAACCCCCTACACTTTTCAGAACTAACCCTGGAGGGATACATTGTTTGTATATTTCCGTGTTAAATTCAGAAACCAGTTGCTTGGGGCAAGGGGGTTCTCGACTTTCTCTTATCGCTGATGGGAGTGTCTCGCTAAGAGCTCTACCTTCCACCGGGAGCTGGCTCTGCATTCAAGTCAGCTCGAGTTTTGCATATTTGTAATCTTGTGCCTGAGAGAGGGAGTGAGCCTCTGCCTTCTCGGCCAGCAACTCTGGGAGCAGAGAGGACTTTCAGAACTTTGTAAATGCAAAACTCCAGACTGCCTCCTGCAATTTAAATATTTAATGCCAGTTGACTTTTTCTCTGTGTGCTAGCTAGGCTGGCAGGTCCTGCTGCTGGGCTGTCCATTTGCCTGTGAGTTGGGGCTTTGTGTTGAAGTGTTCTGAGGAGTTTGTTATAGGTGCACCAAAGTCACTTTAAGAAGTAGAAATCTCTGGGACTCCCGTCTTCTCTGCCCGAGTGCAAATACCCAGAGGGTTGATGGCAAAGAGCTTTAAGGGAATAGCTTTGGTGGAATTTTAGATTGAAGATTGACTCTCAGCTCTGGAAGGGGACTCACTTAATGTTGTATGATAAAATAAAACACACTTGCTTAAATTGTCAACAGAGCATGGAGAATTCATGACGCTTAATGTATTTAATGCAGCTAACAAGATGTGACCTGCTTTCTGATTGGCTAACTGCTGGACAAGGACTGATTTTTTTTTCCTAAAAAAAAAACCAACCAAAACTGGGTTGTCTTTAGCACTATTTTCTTTACATGTTAATACATCATAGAAGTTAAATATAATCGATACTGTTGCTCTCCCCCAAAGCCAGTAGCTTTTACAGAAGTGTAAACCCTGTTTTGCTTAGGGTGGTGACCTGTTGGCAGTAAATGATATTCCTGTGTGGTGCTGTGTGTGTGTTACAGTTTGTATATTTCGTTCAGTTTTTTTTTTGGAACTATCTGCGGGACTCTGAAATTCTTGCAGAAACTGTTGGTTGTCATAGCCTGCTTATCAGAATTAGGGGGATAGAAAATGTCTTATAGTTCAACACACATTCATTGCAATACAAATTTGGGGTTAAAAAAGGTCTTAAAAATATACTTGGTTGAAAACAAGAGAACAAGGGCCATTAGGGCTCAGTTCCTGAACAGCAACAGGATTTAAAAATAACCTGCGTCCGGCTTATGTTTTAGAAAGTTTCTGAGAAGTTGTGGCATGAGGTTTCTCTGCCATCCTCCCTGGTTAGGAGAACAGGCAGATTTCCCTCATACCTATGTTCCCCTGTGCTCCTAAGTTATCACTTGGCCAGTTCAGAGCTAGATGATCTGGGGCACTTCCCTGTCCTGGCCCTCACGGAAATCTGCAGATGCAGAAAGGTCCCACATTTGTTTCCCATTTGAAAGAAAACCTTTGAAAAGTCCCCCTTTCGTAGTATGTTTCCTAAAAAAAGTCACATTATCTTTTGTGAGAGCTGAACTCAGGAACTCCTACCTTTTGGATTATGGGGTATTACTTTTAAAGATTTTCCTCTGAGTAGAAAAAAACCACTTCCTAGCTCAAGAAACTGGAGAGAAAAGCTTGCTCTGACAAATCTTAAAGATTTTTTAAAACCTCTCTGACCGTGACCAAAAAAGCACTGTGAAGTGTTTTCTGGTATGTTCTAGAGCCAACCCCGAACATTTCCCCCCCTTAATTAGATCTTTTTTACAATTACACAAATAATCGCCCTGACACTTCTTTTCTCTTTGCCAAGAAGTAAATGATGTCATGGAACCCAAAGGCCATAAATTTGTTTTCATTTCATATGAAAAAAGGAGAGAATAAAATAATTTCTCCTAAGATATTTAAATATTAACATTCAATATTAAATTTTAATCATAGTTTGTAGTTGGAAAAGAAAATATTTAGACAAAAAAAAACCCCTTTTTGTGAGGAAGTGACATTGTGCCTTCAATGATGATTCTTGATGTAAAGTTGTTCTGAGTCCTAGAGATGGTTGAAACAAAATGCAAGAATAGCCAGGAAAGAGTTACCAGGTTATTCACACACAAAATCAAATAGATCGTTGAGTGACTTTTGTAACTTAACCAAGGCCTTCAATCATTTTTGGCAAGAGAGGCTCACTTCTTTCTCCTCTGTCTTTTGGTTCCTGATCCTATATTACATGGTGTTATTTCATTGAGTCCTAATACCACACACACACACACACACACACACACACACACACACACACACACACAATTTGGGTAATACTCTCAAGTCCCCATTCCTTTTTGAACATAGACTTGGCTAGAAAGAAATTGTAGCAGATCATTGTTGATGAATAAATTGTAGTCAAGTTAGTAGCAATTTTCTAGAAACCTCCTTCTTTATGGAAAGGAAAGAAAGTGGTAAAGAAGCAGGGGACTTACCTATTCTCTTTCTGTAGCTGACCGCAGGGCATTCTCTCCTGCAATTGGTGCATTTCTTCCAATTAAATCAAAGTCCTTCAGAAACTGGGTAGTGAGAGTTTAAAGAGCGTTGGATTGGAAATTAATCCTGTGCCTTTCTTGTTTCTGTCACTTCCTACAACTATTTGGCGTAGATCATGGTTCCTCATCTAAAAATTACCTCGCGATACCGCTAAAATTCTTAAAAATTTCAGATGCTGCAAAAGTCCTGGGTTTGGTTTTCTTTTGTACGAGAAAGTATTGTGAACCAGCATGAGGAGCACAGACATTATTTCTGTGCTCATGCTGTTCAGTTCGAACTCACAAATAGTACTGAAACAATGAAGTCATAGTGGAGAAAAAGCTGAAGGCAGAGACCCGGACAGTCTTGTTTTAAAGTAGTGCTTGGAGCATGCCGTTCCTGGGACAAAGTAGGTACTCAGTAAACATTTGTTAACTTGCCGATCAGTGAATCAGTAGATGGAAGAGGAGAGAGAGTTCGAGAACTATGTCACTGGAATTAACACAATCCCAGTGCCTCTGGGGGCCTGGTGTGCCCTGAAGCTGCTTTGGGCATCAGCCTCCCATTCCCCTTAAAAGTGCTCATCCCCACCTTCTCCACCTTTATTTTATCCATGAGGTGACTTAGGTCCCTAATCTTTGTGGCAAAGGAAAGCAAGTGTCTCAGAGATTATAGGACATTTTTAACAGACTGAGCCACCCAGGCATCCCTTATAGGACATTTTTAAAGGAACATGAATGTATTACAAAGCCACCAGAAACAACAAAAAAATGTTTTAAATGCTATTGGCTGTTCTGGGAAATGAAATTTATTTGCAACATCAGAATCTTAGTGGAATTTCATAAAGAAATGTGTGGGTGTTCTCCCCCCACCCTTTTAAATGAAATTAAGAGAAACTCTTTGAGCTCTGCATCACTGTTGGTACTGTAATTCCCAGGCAGGAGGAAGGGGGTGACATTTTCCGTTGTGTGTGCTACCATGATTTACCCGACGTCTTCCAAAATTCTTGTATTTGAATGGTCTTGCTGTCCCAAATGTATTTGAGAAGAACACAGCTACACAATTTTATAGTTAGTTTAGCATTGCACGCAGAGTGCAGTCAGATAGGCTATAAAAACATGGTCTACAGATACCAGAATTTGTTCTGTAAAAACTTCAGTGATTAGTTAACAGTAAACAGTATTTTTTTTTCATTTCCTGAGGTCTGTGAAATGAAAAATATAGGTAAAATGTGGGACACATTATAGTGACCTTCATTTTTAGTGAGAGGATTTTACTAATGTTGGATTACTATAGAATTTAAGAAAGTTTATCAAGTTATAAAAATCTTCATTCTCGTAGCTAACTTTTCTGTACCTTTTTTTTTCTCAAATGACCCAACATGACTCCATTGCAACAAAGCTGTTTTTAAGTATATATATATTTTTTCCTGTTGGCAATACGCTAATTTTAATAAAACACCACAAACTCCAGGAAAGTGTAGGTTCCATTATGTATTTCTTCTTTTTCGAGGTTTTTTTTTTTCTTTTATCAACATTACACATCCCACTCCAAAAGCGAAAACTGTGATTACAATTGGAAGCCACACACACAAGGTTTTTATTAGAATTACAGTTTTTGGTTTTACAGGATTTAATACGAACGCGAACAGTGTTTGAAGACCTTGAAATTTAAATCTGCTGCCTGCACCCCTCCTTGCTCAACTCTGCAGCTCCCTGGGGAGGGCGTGGGAGGGGCTGGGGGGCTCTCATTCTTCTCTTTCAGTTACATTTTTATATACTTCAGTCACAGGGTTTCACGTTGTAACATCATGTTTATTCATGGAGTAGCTTAGTATCCTTGATGTTCAGATGGAGTCTAGTTAAAATGAGATTAGGTATTTTGGATAGGTGGAAAAACATGAGAAACGCTTTGTGATAACTTGGATTTTTTTTTTCCTAGAAATTTAGAAAGAAAAATCCTGCTGTTACTCTGTGTCATAGGAATGATTTTCAGTGTTAAACAGAGAACTTCCAAGGTTTTCTGAAGGGGGTTGTGAGGAGTGGGGGGAGGGGGCGT